GTTCCCTCATTTAAAAAACGAGACTGTCCTTAGATTTGATAACATCTATCTATCTATCTATCTATCTATCTATCTAGCTAGCTAGCTATCTATCTGACATCATCATGTCTATTGTCCTTGAAAATAGATTTACTATAAACTGTCAAAATTTCTCCTGAGATAGCTTTTTCATTTTCACTTTTTGGACTTGGCTGTTTAATTTTAAGAATAATGCAACATTGGAAGGTTTTAATGTCATCACTTTTGGTACAGAGGATATGATAAACACTACTATCATAGATTCTGTTACCATTTTTCCTAATGGTTATCTTTTTCTTAACTTGAAAAGACTTAATTAGTACCACAATTACAAAGTGGTGTGAGGTTTATAAAATGTTAAGAAGGACTTTGTTCCATAGTGAAACTAACTATGCCTAATCAATATCACTCTTTCAGCAAATACGGAACCTGAAATGATTCTTGGATATCAGCTCTTATTTTGCCTCTTTCTTTCTACCTATTCATGTTATAATGGCCTTTCTAGTCCATTTGACCTTGCTAAGATTTAGCTCTCCATAGTCATAGGCAAATGTGAATTTTTCAACAAGTGCGTCATAATACAATCTTGTGTGAATCCTGACTGATTAATCAAATCACTAGACTGAAGAATCCATACATCCAGCCCTTTATAGAAGTTTCCTAAACTTGTTCCCCAATGCTAATCATGGTAACCACTTTCTACAGTGCAATATATTTCTCTGTGCTATAAAATATTGGAGTAAGAATCAGGAGAAATTACAGTTCTGATTCCAGCTCCACTACTTATAAACTAAAAGCACATTGACATGGCATTTAAACTTTCATAACTCCAGTGTCATCAGTGTGAGAAATAAGGCTACTAACACTGTCCTATGAATCTTAGGGAGCTCATACATATCTCCAGTACATTTTCTAAGACCCAGAGTTGGATCTAGGTTTCAGTAGTTCTTCTCTAGCCCAGCAAGTTATGTATGGTCATTCATTTGTTCAATGAACATTGGCTGCCCACTTAATATGTCCCAGGACATATTGCTAGGGAAGCGGGAGCCTATGGGAGCTAGAGTGACACCATTTTAAAATCAATTCCATCTTAAAACTAGCAAGGCACATTCCTTACTAGTCATGACCCAGGATGCTAAGATTTTCACAGCTAAGGAAGCAGCTTGGTAATGCCTCTAAGGACAAACTCCTACAACAACAGAAAGTCCAGATGTCCCAATACCTGTAGCAATATATGTTTTCAGAATAATTGTAGCTATAGTCACTGTTAAAGTCACACTGAACTAAGTATAACAGGACATTTTTCCATGTGCATGATTTTCTTATGCTAATCCTTAAGCTCCAGACTCCACTAACCCACCTGGAAAACGCTTACCTACTTGGATTTGCCAGCCTGATGGCTGTGTGGCCGCACTGTTTTCCCAAAGGTTGCTCTAATAATGGATATGTGACGGAAATCTCTGTCTCAAGGGATAAACTCCCATGTCTTTAAATTGATGCCTGATTATTAAGCTACATTCCACCTTCAACACTTCCACTGGGCACCCAACCCAAATAGCCTCATTCCATTGTTTCCAGCCTCTTTGCCTTCATTCAGTATGTTTCTTCCCTCTGATATTTTCTATCTCATTTGCTTTCCTCTTTCTTTTTTTTTTTTTTTTTTTTTGACGGAGTCTCGCTCTGTGGCCCAGGCTGGAGTGAGCGGCGCCATCTTGGCTCCCTGCAAGCTCCGCCCCCCCGGGTTCCCGCCATTCTCCTGCCTCAGCCTCCCGAGGAGCTGGGACCACAGGCGCCGCCACCTCGCCGGGCTAATTTTTTGTATTTTTTAGTAGAGACGGGGTTTCACCGTGTTAGCCAGGATGGTCTCGATCTCCTGACCTCGTGATCCGCCCGTCTCGGCCTCCCAAAGTGCTGGGATTACAGGCGTGAGCCACCGCGCCCGGCCCTACTTGTTTCAAAGACAATCCAAATTCCCTCTCCTCCATAAAGCCTCTAATCTAATGCTCCCTTGGGAGAGGATATCTTTTAGTATGAGCTATTACAGAACTTTGTAATTCGTTTTTGGCATTTATTATTATTTTTCCTGTGATACAAGGTATTTGATCTATTTTATCTCCCTACAAATGCAAACTCCATGAGATCAGGTATATATCTTATACTGTCCACCAAGTCTTAAGCACAGATTGCTTAGGAAATTCTCACCTGTGGCCACAGAGTTCAAGAATAGAGAATGTGGAATTGAATCTCAGCTATATCTCATTCTGACATCTCTGTTCTTAACCATTTCTGCATCAATTTTGCCTTCACAACTCCCAGTACAGTGGTTACCACCTCTTGGTTGGTTTGAGAAAACCTCAATTCATATGATTTTGCAGCATACTGTAGAGAATATGATTGGCATGTTTACCTTTGTTTGATTTTATTACTGGAAAAAGTTGTTAATCTGTGAAAGAGAAGTCAGGCTTTTTAAAACACAAAATATTTATTGATTTCTTATTTGGGCAAACATATATGGTAGATAAGGTATAAATAATAGTTCTTATTTTATTGATGAAGAGACTGAGGTACAGTGATTAAGGGTTTTGAGACAATTATTGGTGGGACTGGGACTAAGACCAAGATTTTCCAACTTCTATCCATTTTTACCTTGCCATTATATATTTTTGTGAATATTTCTACCACTGACTACATGGAAAACAAAACACGTACTGTCCTTATTTTATTATATGACATTGATGGCATAATTATGAATACTTAACATGTAAATGAAGGAAAATACAAGGAATTCATGTTTATTAAATGTTGTTTTATGTAACAAGTACTTTTTAGAGATTGCAGCTTATCTTTTGTAAAATGCTAAAAGATAAGTATTATTATTCCCACTTGGTGTATGAAGAAACTGAGGCTGGAAAACAGCAGAACCTATGGAAGGCTCCTGTATAAATAGTCCAAAACCTGCATGTTTGCCAGTAGTAAGTGGAAAGTGCATATTGTATATTTTAAAATAAAGAATGTAATTGGGTTATTTGTAACTCAAAGGATAAATGCTCGAGGGGATGGATACGCCATTCATGACGTGCTTATTTCACATTGTATACCTGTATCAAAACATCTCATGTACGCCATAAATACGTACACCTACTATGTACCCACAAAAATTAAATAAAATATTAAAATAGTTTAAAATAAAAAGAGGGTAATATCTGTTTCAAATGATTATTGTATGAATTTAATAAGATTTAAAGTGGTTTGTTTATTGTGTGAGTACAGGAAATGAGAAAAGGTAGCCCTGCAGCCACAAGGTCACTGATCAAAGATTTAGCAATGGGATTCCAAGATTCCTGATTCTAAGGCAACTGCTCTTTCAATTATAACATGTACTTGGTTTATAGTTAATGGTATAGGAAAGCCCTTTTTTCTTGTATTTCACAGAGCATACCTGATTTTCACAATGGTGAAAAAAAGAAACTGAAGGCTAGATCTGGACTGTTTCTGAACCGTCAACTCTATATCTGTGCATTAGCTACAGGTGGTTCTTTGGCCAAAATAAGTTGTGATATGACTAATTTTAAACTAGATCAATTACAACTTGTGTACAGATAAACCCCAGTAAGTCCTAGGTTTTTTATCTTAAAAACTCTTCAGTGCCTTTCATGATGAATATGGCAGCTCTACACTTTAAAGCAACCATTGTGTTCCCCTGACTTTTAACTATGTTACACTGGAGGAAGGGTTGAAATAGAACGATGATTGATTATAAGTATTCAAAACAGTTATGATGACAGAATTTCAGCACATCTGGGAAAATGTTAGCTTTTCCAAGATCTCAATCTGCTGCTGATACCTGGCATTCTTGTTTTCAGTTGAGTATTTTGTAGCCTTTAGAACATGTGAATAAAAATTATATAATTTTTTCTTGTCAGTCATTCACACATCAGGGTTAATGAGACTGTTCTTTGAAAAGGGCCTGGGGATGCTGGTGGAGGGCATGGAGACCCACAGCACCCAAGGGAAGTGGGGGTCTAATTAAGATACAAGACAGGACTAATTTTAGATGGGAACAGGCAAGCTAATCTTGTAGACATTACAATCTTGCTAAAATTAGCTTTAGAGATTGCACCCAAGTTTATCTTAGAGTCCCAGAGTTCTTGGATTTTCTGAGGGCCAAGAAGATGTCAATCTATAAAGTTGACAAAACTTTGATGCCTACTCCCTTTTAACATTAGGCAGAGAAGGTCAAAGAAATCCCGTGATTATTAGTTGAACCCAACCACTTAACCCACTAAAGGGAAAGCTGAGGACAGAAAAAGAAGACAATTTTATTCCTTAATTACAGCTAGTTACCAGCAGAACTTAAATCCCCGCTCTTATCCTTGGACTTTGCAGAGTCACTGATTTAGTTACTGGCGGCAGCAGATTCAGAGAGACAATACAATCACTGAAAGCACACTCCTTGTTGGCAAAAAAAGCCTTGTGTTTATACCCTCTAGAACCTGGCACACACATAACACTTAAAATATTTTGCTAATTATATGAATGGATAGATCTCAGACTGGGTTAAATTGTCCCTCACACCAGCCCCATTCTCCATGTTTTTAACTACAATTTCTCTGACTTCTTTTGAGAGTAAAAAAAAATTCAACATTTGGACCTGGCATTCCTCATGACCCCAGGGGGAAAAAAAAAAATGCTGTAGAGTGATTGGTTATTTCTTTCTCCTATTGAGTCCTGTCCCAATTTCTAATTAATATGTAAACTGGCTTTGAATAAGAAATGAATGCATCTTGCCCAGTATGTCTTACAAAAATACTAATTTAGTTTATACTTCTTTCAGATTGTAGAGTTAAGGATTAGAGCCCACCCTTCAGAATTTAATATTCACTTAGCAAGGAGATGGTAACTTGGGTAGTGTTTATCAAAAAGTTATGTGCATTTTCTATCTCCTTCCACTACTATTATTTACCCATGACAGAAACAGATTTTCATTTTGTGTTATTGAGGATTTTTCGAATTAGTTTTTTGAAAGCAGCTTTCACATCTTTGTTCTGCAAACTGTAGATCAAGGGATTCAACATGGGGATGATAATCGTGTAGAACACAGAGGCCCACTTGTCTTGGTCCAGAGAGTAGCTGGATGTTGGCCTCAGGTACATAAACATGACTGTGCCATAGAAGAGGGTGATGCCAGTAAGGTGAGACCCACAGGTGGAGAAAGCCTTAAGGCGGCCTTCGGCTGAACGCATTCTGATGATTGCAACGAGGATAAAGGTATAGGAGATGAAGATGATGAGGATGGTGCTGAATTCAATGAAGCCACACAGACTGAAGAGCAAGATCTCACTGATGTAGGTGTCTGAACAAGAGAGGGCCAAGAGTGGTGGGATTTCGCAGAAGAAATGGTTGATGATATTGGAACCACAGTAACTCAGGCTGAAGGTGAGGGTAGTGTGGGCTACTAAACTTACTAGACCAGCCAGGTAAGAGCCCAGCATGAGAGCCAAGCAGACCCGCTTGGACATGAGGGTGCTATAGTGGAGGGGTTGACAGATAGCCACAAAACGATCATAGGCCATGGCTGCCAGGACATAGCACTCAGCATCCACAAAACCTACAAAGAAAGCAAACTGGGTGGCACAGCTGGAGAAGGAGATAACTTTGTGCTTTGTTAGGAAGTCAGCCAGCATCCCGGGGGCAATGGCTGAGGAGTAGCCCAGCTCAACAAAGGAGAGGTTGCAGAGGAAAAAATACCTGGGTGTGTGAAGCTGAGTGTCTGTTATAATCAGGATAATCATACCAACGTTCCCCACTACATTAACCAGGTAAACTGTGAGGAAAACCACGAAGAAGATGATCTGCATCTGAGGGTCCTGGGTGATGCCCATGAAGATAAACTCAGTCACCACTGAGTGGTTTTCTGTATCCATTGCTTCAAGGTTGTATGTGCCTGGATTTAGTTTACTGATGGATGTAGTAAATTCCCTGTTACTGAAAATATTCAAACTAAAGACGAGCAATCATATGCCAGATACATATATATATATATATATAGTGTATGTGTGTATACATATAGTTCTACAGTAAATGAGGGCTTTGTTTAGGATGATTCGTAAAAATCTTTCCAGTAATTAGATTCTATGACCGATAGAATAACCCAAATGCTTTGTTAAAAGTGGTGATGTGTCCTCTCCATGTGCCCATTCACAAGAGAAGGAAGTGTTAACTCTTGGGAATGGCAACTTCTGCTTCTCCAATGACCTTGGTGTTCTGGGGTAATTTATCACATGGTACTAGATGTTTGACTCAGTCTGCACAATTGTGTGTCTTATTAATGAGTAAAGAAGAACAGCGTTGGGTATTTCTTCTTTCTAAAACAAAGCAAATATAAATGTAGATAATGAATAAACTTTAATTTTCATTACAGGTAGACACAGAAAGGAAAATAAGTGACACAAGGACCTCAAAGTACAACGCATCACACATATACAGAAAGTGAAAAACTTGGAGCAGAAGGTCAGAAATATAAGAAAAGACAGTAAAAGATAGATAATTTTTTTAAAAGTCGGACTTACTGAGTAGCCTGAGAAAAATAAAAAGAAACATATTTCTGATTTAAAAAACTTGTATCCATAACATACAAAGACATTTTAATACTGAATAATAAGAAATCCAACAATCCAGTAAGAATCGGCCAAAAATTTCAATAGATACTTACTCATCAAAGAAGATAGCCAAATAACAAATAAATGCATAAAAGTGCTCAAATATTCATTAGGTGAATACAAGTTAAAAACACAATAAAATAATGTTACATACTAATGATTACAGTTTAAAAAAACTGACTATACCAAGTGTTGACCAGGAAATAGAATAATTGGAAATTTCATCATCATTGGTAGAAATGTAAAGTAGTACAACCACTTTGGAAAACACCTTTGTAGTTTCTTATAAACTCAAACATACGCATACCAACTCTATGATCCAGCCATTAAATAACCGTATATAGGTGACAGGGTAAGTAAATTAGGGTATGTCCATAAAATGAAATGCTACTTAATGATTAAAAGAATCAGATTATTCACACATGCAATGTGGTGAATGAATCTCAAAATAATTAGACTGAGAGAAAACAGCCAGATAAAAAAGAGTATACCTTGTATGATTCCATTTATAAAAATCCAGAAAGTGTAAGATAATTAATATTGATAGGAGGCAGATCAATGGTCACCAGGATAGAGGTGTGTGTGAGGTGGAACAGAGGGGAGGGAGTATCAAGAGGCATGAGGAAACTTTTGGGGGTAATGGATTTATTTACTATCTTGACAGTGATAATGGTTTTGTGAGTGTGTGTGTGTGTGTGTGTGTATATATATGTGTGTGTATATATATATATACACACACACACATATGCATACACACTTTATATATATATATAAAGACATATCAAATTTTATACTTTAAACATATTTAATTTGTTGTACATCAGTTATACCTGAATAAAGCTGCTACAAAAAAGAGGAAAATACTTGTCCCTACTCCAGTTCAGCTATTTCTCACTACATGTGAATGCAGACATGGTTTCAGAGATGAAATTGATGAGGACATAAAAACCTAGGTTGAGGGGGCTGGCAGAAGTCACTTGATGATTCTCTGAGTTGCAGAATCAGCCATTGAATTTGGGGCTACCAATTGCCTATGTAGTGCTGTAATCATTGGATTCATTTTTCCCTTTATTTCTTCATGCAGGGATTTTAAAATAACCCACCAGGAAAAAACAAACAAACAGCAAAGAATGATATATTATTTGTCAGCATGTTCTTCAACTTTAGCAAGAGAAAAAATAATCCTAGTGTTGAAAATGAACCCATGTAGCCAACCTTATACTTATACTGTATGTATGTATGTATGTGTGTATGTATTATTAAGATGGAGTTTTGCTGTGTCTCCCAGGCTGAAGTACAGTGGTGTGTTCTCAGCTCACTGCAGCAACCTCCACCTCCTAGGTTCAAGCAATTATCTTGCCTCAGCCTCCTGAGTAGCTGGGACTACAGGTGCTCACCACCATGCCTGGCTAATTTTTCTATTTTTAGTAGAGGCAGGGTGTCACCATGTGTAGGCCAAGCTGATCTTGAACTCCTGACCTCCCAAAGTGCTAGGACTACAGGCATGCGCCACCGTGCCTGGCCTATACTTGTACCTTTATAGGTGAGGAAACAGACACTAATTAAAATGCAGATACCAGATTGCAGTATTTAAAGGAGTAAGAGATAACCTTGTAAGAAGCACTAGGAGTCAGTACTCTAATCCACAGCTGAGTATGTGCCAGTCAATCCATTTCATTTGATTGGAAATGTAATTATAAAATAATTCCTCCTCCCTTACAGATTCAAGGCTCTGATTAAATAAAGCAGTGCATTAGAAGGTGCTTCAGCAGCCACAAAGTACCCTGCCTGTTCTCATTTATAGTGGACAGACAATTTCAGGTTTTACCATCTGCTACTCCTGATTTTCAACATAATACTCAGCTTCTTGGAGTCATAATTTTTCATTTGTTCATTGGGGCTAATAATGCCTCCCTTAAAAACTTTCTGTAAGAATTGATTACAATATATACAAAGGGCTGAGTTTAGTGACATCCTGTGCTGGGTGTTTAATGCAATTGGCCATTGTGCAGGTATAGATGTTTTAATTCATTAGATGAGTATGCACTCGTAATTCCTAGAAAAAATGCTTCATGCTTATTCCCTAGAGAGGATGTTTCACAAACTGCCTGAACTTTTAGGGAGACACAAATTTAATTCTGTAGCAATTCCATTAAATGATATTGAGAGACAAGGATGTAATATTCAAAATTGAGCTTGACTAAGGCAAAAGGAAAGAAAACCTCTACACTTTTCTTTTTGGTCTCATATAGCCAACGTTCAGCCCATTAGACTCAAAGAAATGGTAGAATATTCAGCAAATAAGCATATTCCATTGTTAATAATAAACTCAAATATTTAACAAAAGACCAGCACAAGTATTCTGTTACGGAAGTAAATAAAGGAAAAATGTATTTTAGATTTTTATGTATCACTTGCTTTTTCAAGTTCATATGAAAAGAATAGTGGAGCAAGAGTCTGGAGATCCTGGTTATAGTCCTACGGTTTTTAAAGAATAGATTGTTTGACCTCAGTAAATTGCTACATTAGATACACCTTTCCTATCTGTGATACAGATGGGGTGGCGAATACAAATTCTGTAGAATCTTCCATTCCTAGCATTTTTTGAATTTATACTTGTAACGAGATATCCTAAAAACCAAATCCATGATCTTTGTCTTTTTTCAATATTAAAATGGCAGGGAATTTGTGCCAAGCAGAACCCACGCTCAAAGGGCACTGGGCAGCCTAACACTCCACCCCAGCAGGTCACATCGCTTTCTACATTCAGACCTAGGACCTGGCCTGCTTTCTACCTGTTGGTGAGAGGTTGAGTGTTCCTCCTCTTTGATGGATTAAACCAAAGATATATTCCGAGAAGAACTGAAACACGGTGAATTAATCTGGTCGTCGTCTGAGCTACTTGCTCATCCCACCCTCACTCCTGTGTGCAGGAGGTATTTAAGTGTCACAAACAATTCCCAGAAGAAATATGATGAAATACTTTATGCACTCACAGGAAACACAAAGGTTTGACGAACTGTGATCCTCCAAGGAATTTCACTCTTTCTCCTTCAAATTTAATGATAAAAGAAGGAAACACAGGGGAATTTTTTAAAGACATTCTACTGATGATTGAGTTAGTAAGAAGCACTGCATGGGGTGTTTGTGCAACCCAAAGATGCCTACATAAAGAGAATTAGGGAGTAGTTGAGAAAAGTCTTTTTGCTGATGCCTGAAAGTCTTTTGAAAGAGGAGGTTACTTTCTGTGTTTTGTGAACTGGCATAAATGCATTGCTATAATGCTGAGAAAGAAATAAATACGAAGTTATTTCTAATTAAAAACAAAAATAAAGGAACACAGGGAAACACTGGGTGGTGTTAGATATTTCTATTACCTCGATTGTGATGTTGATATCATGGGTGTTTGCTTATGTCTAAACTCATCAAACTGTACACATTAAATATGTGTAGTTATCTGTATCTTTATAACTCAGTAAAGCTTTTTAAAACTAATTTTAAGTGGCATAAAAGAGCTACCACAAACAAAATCTTATAGAAGTTTTTTGGAGAAACCAACATTTATCAATGAAGAAAATGAAGAAGTATAAATTAAAAAGCAGTAATTCAGAGTTCTGTATACCTGCCACCATGAACTTTCTGATGTGTCTGGTCATTTTCCATAAACTAGAGGCCATTATCCTTAGCAAACTAAGGCAGGGACAGAAAACCAAATACCACATGTTCTCACTTATAAGTGGGAGCTAAATGATGAGAACACATTAACCAATAGAGGGGAACAACACACGCTGATGGAGGGTGGAGGATGGGAGAAGGGAGAGGATCAAGAAAAATAAGGATACTTGGCTTATTAGCTGCCTAATGAAATAATCTGTACGATAAATCCTTGTGATGCTAGTTTACCTACGTAACAAACCTGAACATGTAACCTGACCTTAAACATTACAAAAAAAGGAATTAGTTTACATTTTCTTTTAATTTTTACATGAAAGAAACTTCAGGTACTTCCTCTGGCAAAAAGGAATTTTTGATTTCATTCACTAGCAGATTGAAGAACTTCTTTCTGTTTCTAATCAAAATGCAAAAGGATCGTTGAAATTTTACTCAGGCTTATCTTTTTGCTGAGGCACTGACAGGGTTCTTTGAAAATAGTTAAGAAACAGCTAGCGGCCCAGTGCGGTGGCTCACGTCTGTAATCCCAGCACTTAGGGAGGCTGAGAGGCAAGGATCACTTGTCTTTGTTCATAGACGTTTGAGTCGGTTTC